GGTCTGAATTAACCTAACTACATATTTATTAATCAATTCAGTCATTTTATTTACTTTTTTTTTTTTTAAATAGAGTGTTGTTCTCTGAGCTGGGTGGTTTGGTCGTGGAGCTTTCATCGTTCCTCTAAACGACATCATCAGCACAAACTTCAGATAGAAGTGATTTTTTTGCTTGGAAAAAAATAATAATCATGTTTTCACGTATTACATTGGTTATGTAGTTCTCTTTAAAGTCAGACCATTAATAAATCTGATATTATCATAATTCCAATTTTATTATAAAAAAACAAAAAATAAATTATGTAAACTTATTTAATGCATACATAAGAGAATATTTGTACTGTTATCTGTTTATTTATAGAATAGATATATCTAACATCAATGAAATATTCTGTATTTGACTAATGTTTATCTAAACTTAATCAAATGAAGAATAGTTTTTTTGTTTCAGTTATAGTGTTTCATAAACTGTTGTATAATTTCAGTAGCTGAAATCATGAGTGAATTAAAGCTAGACCACCATGGAAAACCTGGAAGAACTGGATAGCCGTTTCGTTCTATTGTGGGACACTTCAGCAGTGTGCATCCACGACCCCTCCTCGTGGGATTCGAACACAGGACTTGTCAGTCTCGCGAGCGAACGATTAATCTCTAAACCATTGAGCCGGCATCCATTAGTGTTAATGTCTAAATTCAAATAAACCATGAAATTGAGCGATACACCTTTCATTGTCATCAGTGATTTACTATCTCACAACTGACCTGGTTGTTCTCCTCTGGTCACTGCTTCTCACTAGAACCCCAGGAAATACCTCTTGAAGACAGTCGCTAGTGAGCAAATGTTGATTAGTATCAGAAGGGGTTTTGTGGAGATTTTAGTAATCTCAATAGTTGAGATCATGAGTCAACTGAAGCTAGACCACCATAAAAAACCTGGAAGCACCGAATGGCCATTTCGTTCTATTGTGGGACTCCTTAGTAGTGCGAATCCACAACTATTCATTTTATATTGCTTTTTTAAATCTTCCCATCGATGTCTAAGGCTGAAATTGGTTTGTGCGGATTGTCTCCCGGAGTGAACATCAACTCTGGGATACAGGTACGTCCAGCTGACGAGTATTAAATAAAATGCAACGTGTGTCCTGGATTCCATTGCTAGCTACCAATCATCTTTGCTTATAATCCCCTGTACAGTGATCTTCATAGTAATTCGACACTCGTGGTAAAAGATCAAAAACAAGGTTTTATTGATTTACTAATGAAGTGTTTGTAAGTGTTGTGACATATTGTATCTTAAATCTGATACTGATACACAGTGTGCTATACGCTAAATCCCCAACTGACTACTTGAGCGAGAACACAATAGTGAAAAAGAAAGTGTATTGAGCTACCAAATGAAATGCGCAAATACTCATATATATATATATATATATATATATATATATAAGTGTATTTTTAGGAAATTGATTCATTGGCCCCAATGAAATGCACTGGATCTCTAGGTTCCTTCTAGTTACCATCGATAGAATGTTTGCTACTTCTGATTGGATCTTCATGTCAGTAAAGTTCTTGTACAAAAATGATTTTGAATTGCAGTTTTCAATGATTCCATGTGTTACATTTTGTTATTCAAAATCCAACCGAAAATTCGCATTATTAATAAAATATTTCCATAGTATTTTTTTTCAATATAATTTGCATTTTATGATTTTGAAAAACAAACTATCATAATATACTATGAAAATGTTATAATTTGATGATATTTATAAAACTATGTCAATATAGAGTTACCTTTGTGTAATGATTTTTATAAACTTTATAACATTATATAGATAACCGGTAATGTTAGATGTAAATCAACTTTTCATTTTCATTACTGATTGTTTGAATCTATTTAATAATTTTGATATATGAATAATAAAGTGTAAAAAATCTAACAGTTATCTTTGCTTTACTTAATTTAATAAAAGTATCGCCATTTCCGCCATGTTATTATTATTATTATTACAATTAGTTTTAAAATCTATATTGAGGTTGGCACTGATGAACACATCATCATGATTGCTACTGATTAGTTTGACCTAGTTTATTTTAATATGGAATCTATTTGACATGTTCATAAATGTATGAATGATTCAAATACAATCCGGTTATAAATAACATATTTTCAAACAAACTTTAATCAATATCAGAAGGGGTTTTGTGGATTATGTAGTAATTTTAATGGTTAAGATCATGAGTTAGTTAAATCTAGACCACCATGGAAAACCTGAAAACACTGGACGGTCGTTTTGTCTTCCAATCATTCAATATCCTGAATATAATAAATAGTGAAATTAAAACCTTATTGTGTATATATAATGATATTGATATTATTTTTGATAATTCAGCTTCTGATGTCAAACATTAATTATCGGTGATGTTTAAATGAATCGAATAGTTAATGAATTAGCATCTATTTGATACGTTTTAGTTCTTTTGCAATTTTCTATTGTACTCTACTAAATAATCATAAATCATAAATCTTTTTCAAAATATTTCTAAAGAAGTTGATTTGATTACCAGAAGAAAGAATGAATTGTTTCGGTAGAAACACTTCAAAGAAGTTATAATAATTTCTTTCCTTTTCTTTTTACGTTTTTTTTTTTCTAAAAAAGTTACAGTTTTAATTTTTGAGTTTGATTTTGTTCAATGTTTCCTTACAGATGCAAATTTTGATAAACAAAATAAATTATGCTTATATTAACTTAGTTTTTTTTTACTATTAATTCTTTGAAGTGTTTTTTTTTTCATTTTAGTACAGTTTGGTTTACTGCTATTGTGTAACTAATGTCATTTATAAAAATAGAAAGCCCATTTTTATTTTTAAAAACTACTTCCTAGGAACAAAAATCTCATGGTTCAAAGTATATTTAATCGGTGCAATTTCAAATTTGCTATTTTAGTTCTGACAAGAAGTTAGAATAAGTTTTGTAAGGGTCCGAGTTATTCTGTTTCAGATGTTTACGTTTTCTTAAAAAATCACAAACGGATCAAATTTAAGCCAATATTGGAAACCTGAAAACGAAGAATAGTCACTTTGTCGTAATGTGTGACGCCTCATCCGGACCCAGTGCTTTCAATTTTTCGGTGGCGGTCTAACTAAGATAAGTTTGTGATTCGAACTATGAAGATTCTAGAATCTTCACAAATCCTCCCATCAGAATTGAAATAAAGCGCTCAATAATAGTTATTTTAAAGATCCAACTCTTGAAGTTTTAGTGAAAAACTGTGACCAGTCCAGTTCAACCATGTCGAGTGTCAGACAGTTATCCACCGTAGGCAATGGAAATAATTTCTCAATGTCGCGGGTTCACTGAGTTTGTAAATCAACGTCACTTAGTGCCCGCTCAGAGGCAGAGATGTCGAACGTTCACTTCTGAGATCAAAGGTCTTAGTTTCGATTCACGGGTGTAGGTTTGTGAGTATGTGCGCTTGAGGAATCATGTGCTAGAAAAAACAGCCGTCTTATATTTCCAGATTTCTAGTGGGGGGTCTAAGATCAGTTTATGATCTAAAAAATATGGAAATAAAAAGCAACAAAATATCTGTTAATGATAATGAATTACTGGCTAAAATAAGAAAAGATGAAAATGTAAATGTGAGAAGCCTTATCAAGAAGACGGACAAAGGTAATTACGAAAAAATGGTTGTGTAACTTGAGAAGTTGATATGGAATGCTATCAGAGTAAAATTAAAAACGGAAAAAAAGTCTGTGGATGGTCACAGGCTATTGAAGGAAGTTAGAGGGAGAGTAATGGATTTGAAAAACAGGTAAAACGAAAACATGGTATAAATAAGATTGTATATGTTACTGTTACAGCTTTTCCAGATGCATGGCAAATGCTTCGGGAAATCTTAGAAAGCAAGCGCAAACTGTATGGTGAGCTTTTACTTACTTTGTAGACGGTATAAGTGCTGAGTCTGTTTTGATTGAATGACCCTTGTTCGCAAGGTGCTTGATTGTGAGGTTTCCCATAGATTAATTTTTGACTACTTTCAACCAAGCCCCATAATATTCATGACAGTGTCCTTACATTTGGCGGAGGGTGAATTTATTATCAATACATTCTCAATCAGAATGTAAACTGGTCTCCTCCTCGTGAGTCAACCTTTCTCGGGTTTCGAACAGTCTACGAATTAGAAGCCAATAGTTTGGACGCAATCATTATTTACCATGCAGATCCATAGCATTACACCATACTGCAAATTAGTTGACAGATTTAACAGCGAAACGCATAAAATCTGTCTGATCAAATATTGACAATCCAGTTATATTGCTAGTTGCAGGTAGTAAAACATTGTTCATAAGAAAGATAATGTTTTTTTATATTGCTGTATTATTTTTGTTGAGAATATCAAGGAGCTATAACTAAAGCATAAATTTACTTATTATCAGACTACCAATATGCAAATGAAATTCCTATCAAATCTGCCTGTAAAGACTGGATGGTTTTATTCTAGAAGTAAACGTGGTTAATAACTTATCTATTCAACGTCTCTTTCGGAAATACTACATATATCAAACACTAACCGTTATAAATGAAATTTACATTCCAGTTATTTAGGAAAGAGAACTTCAGACAATTCTAATTTTTTTTATCTGAACACTGGAGATACGGATTTGTATGTAATAGTATACAACCCCTAAGACTGGTATTCTTCTGAAGTTGTAAATATATCAATTTAAATGTTAGTTCCATAAATGAGATATTAAATAAATCAACCGTGCTATGTAAATAGAATGCTTATCTATCTGAAAAAGTTATATATCAGTGTATAAGCATTTCGAAACTTTAACATTGTATCATATCCTTCAAAAAATAGCATTTATTTCATTCATATGGCCAAAATAATAGTATCATTAATAGTAATAAATTTTAAGTTTTCAAATATTTTCTTTCTTCTTGGCAAGACACATTATCTGTATTTATTTCTAGTGCAGTGGATCAGAACACAAATGGAGACAATCAAATGTATTTGAATACAAAATTACAGAATATCTTAGTAAAATCTGAGAATCATACAGTAAATACTTCATTTGTAAAATATCAATCAATCGTTTCAAACTCTATTGTTCTTTCATTTCTATACCAATCATTCTTTATTATCATTCACTTTTCTTTGATCTTTTTTACCTTCTGCCTCTAGGCATATTACTTTTGATTGATGATACATATTACTAACAGTAACACATACCACACTAGTATCTACAGCCAAACATGGATCTGTAATATTATCTTACATAACTTATTGAAGTAAACACTTGGAAACATACAATTCAATTTGTCATAATATTAATGATCAAAACAAGTTAATACAAATAGCTTTATTCCATGTATACAAATGAAATTAGGAGGAAAGCTAATAATAATAATAACAATAATTCATTTGAACTATATGTTAAACATTATGTTCTGATGAGGAGAAAAGAAAGAGTATGCAAAAATGTTCTATTCATTTACTGTTAATATGGCATGAAAAAACAAGCGAAAAAAAACAAAACACCTTTGCATTCAATTTAAAATTAACAATAATTAGTCCCGTATTCAAAGGAGCTGACATTGAAATTTCCAATTTCATTGTTCAATAGTAGTACGATTATTATTATTATTACGACGTAATTGATAGAATATTTTCCAGAATGTATTTTTAAATTGTCTTGACATAGCCAAATATACAAAAAAATTTGCCGGATATGATAATATTACCAGAAAATTACAGATTTCAACAATCTAAAATGAAATAATAATAATAATAAAATAATTATTATTTATTCATTTGGTATAATCAGTAGTTAATTGTGAACCAAATGTTATCTAATCAGGTGAACATAAAACACCCCCAAATTTTTAGCACTTTTTAGTAGTTTATTTTATATTATGCAATAGATATACAGGAATACACATAAAGTACAAATAATATCATAATCAATCATATGTAAAATAAAATTTATATTATCCTTCATATCTATTTTTCATTGATGAATAACTGTGTGAAAGTTTATCACTAAACCATTTATGTTCAATTTTTGACTGAAATTTAAAGTCTGACTATCATCTCAAGTTTCTGGATGTATTAATTTAGTTATAATAACATACAATGACCATTACTGTTTTATATTGATAATGATACAAAGTGGTAAAAATACTACGTGGATTCGTTTAAGTGTTAAAACAACTATGTACAAAAGATACTGATGTATTTTTCGACAGTTTGCGGTACGAGATCTAAATAAAAAATCTTCATAAATGATCATCAACTTAAATCGCGTGGGAGAAAAACGGATTTAAATGAGTCAAATATGAGAATGGATTTTTGAATACGTATATTTTGTACACTTCTTTATTTGGACGGACAATCAAAGGAACGAAGCGGAATGACGCTCAGTGGAGAAGGCGTGTGTTCCACCTTGATTTAGTCAAGCGTCAATCAATATTTGTAATCACACAAAAATAAGCTACAGACATGTGATGAATAGGATGAGATGTACACACATAAACTCATATAAAAACAGTCAAGATAGATAAGTAAATAATTAACGAAGTCAAAACGTGACTCAGGAAGAATGAATAGATTGGCCTGTTCAGAAGCTAGAATAAGTTATGTGGGTTTAACATAGTAACCGACACTACACTATGTTGCTCAAACATGTTACAGTCTATAAATTTTAATGTCATCTGTATAAAATATCATTTATCGATTTGAAAATAAACGATGGAGTAACTTAATCGAAAACTCTAAAACATACATCTTAAGGATGAAATATGTTTACCAAAAAACGTTTTCAGTAGACTTATCTAAACAAAAATATTACTTAGTCTATTGTATAATTATACAATATGTATTTTGTAATCAAGATAAAATGCTTAAATTTCTGTAGCCCTCAATAATTATTCGCTGCTACTGTTCAAAACAAATGCTTTGAATCTCGTGGTAGACTTTCATGTTTGAATTATTAGGTATGAAAATGATTGTCAAACAAAGCGAATTCAAATAAATGGTGAGGCGGAGTGATAATTGAACGTGATCAAGGTAGCAATCATCTAAAGTGAATAGTCAATACAATAGCTTAAGGCAACTAAATAATATTATTTAGGTCACCACTTCAAATTTAAGTGGACTAACATATTACGCGACTACCAAATTGTTCCTGACTTATCCTGGTGTTTAGTAAGCTTATGTAATATGAAATACGGTATCTTTAGTTAATGCATACTTCCCAAATCGATAGATCGTATAGAGAACGGCTCTATTTGAGTAGGTTTATACTTACATAAAAGTAAGTGCAATGCTTAGATCTGTAGTATTTTTAAAATTCTTTAAATGATGTAACTGAAGTCTACTCTTATCAAGTAGCCTAAATTTCATAAATTTGACTACTCAACAAAATATTTGATAGCCAGATAGCTTAATTATAACTTCTTCAAACAACCAACTTCAAATATCTGAACTTCATTTGAAAGATCCAACAGAGCAAGTGTTTACTGTTCACGGTAGATATTAGTTTTATTAAATCATATCTAAGCGATAACATTGTAGATAAAACTTTGGAATTATGGGAGCTTATCATCCGTAGAGGCCAATGTTTATATCTTTGAGGACAGCAGACGAGATGACACCTTACTATGATAATGAAGCATCTTTGAATAAGCCGATTTCTCCCCAACTGATGTAAAGTTATGATCATCTGTAGTGATCATTAGTAACGCAGATTTCAACTTTATTTGCCCATCTAATACGCACTTAAATGTGCTATTTAATTGAAAATTATGAGTCATAGTATTTCAATAAATTGTCTCACTCATCACTTTATGGAAATGGTGTCTTGTTTCAAACATCATACGTTTATGAAAACCAACTAAGCACTAGTACTAATGTTTATATTACTGTATGGCAAATCTTTCTGGTATAATTGTAGGGCACTATCACAAAACGTCGCTTTAAGATCAGTAGAACCTATAGGCCTATATTTATCACATCATAAAATCATTTAACAAGTTGCAAAGCTCAGAATTGTTTCCGGTCTATTCAATTAAGTCTGACGGGAATAATCTATTTTAAGCATTTCCTTTGTATACACTCAAAGGCAACTTATTTTTTAAGCATTCTATCAATAGATTTTGTTTTTTTTTATCATAATTTATGTATTAATGTAATCTATCAATTCATGTAAAAAGCTTTTGTTTCCGCGTAATAACTACTAAAGTGACATTAATCACCTTACTAAGCTAATTAAGCCAATATCACTTCCTTCAAATGGCCTTTAACTTGTAATGAAAGCTAATCTAGCCTGTTTTCATTGTGTTTATTATAATATATATAAACATAGGATTCAACCGTTGGTGTACTTTACAATTATATGTATAAATATATTTATTTGTAGGTCTCTTCCCTAAATGTAACTTTATCAAAGTTAGAGAAGAGCGTAATCAGATAACTATTGTTTGACCATACGTCTATTTTGTTCTGCTTGGTTTTTATATATTGCTCTTCAATAACTCGCGGTCACACAACAAGCGATTCAGGTCAATTGTTATTTTTTAACTTTAATGGAATCATTTGTACAGGTTGTTAATTAATGAACTAGCAATTATATAAAGTATTCATAGAGTATTTATTTATTCTTTATATGAACTGATTATGAATAACCAGGAGATTTAGACGTAAACTGTATGTGTCCTTAAACTAAATCTGGCTCATTTATTTCAAAAAATAATTTTGTTTGGAAACTAATCATACACACATGCGTTTCTCGTTAAAAGGAAATAAAAGGCCTACGGTTGAACTGAAACTGTCAAGATATAGCAAATAATTTGGTTTAAAATGTTTTGGATTCTGTTCCTAGTTCGTATGACTTCATTTCAACAGAAACTTAGGAGCCAGTATCAATGAAACTGCTTCTTAAAAGGAACTCATAATATTTCTACATTTCATTAATAATCTTGGAACTTATTAATAAATAGGTGTATTTAAGGGAAGATTTAAACATTTTTAAGTCAAGCATATTATCACAAAATCAAGTTATTAATAAAACATATTATGGTATTTACAGGTTTTGTATATTTATATTAGAGATATTTCTTTGATCTTTTTACGATACACTAATAATAACCAGCTATCTAAATTGATTCAATTTAAGAGAATTAGTAACAGCTTTTCATTCAACTTCATAAAAAATATTCCATTCTATTTATTATTTAACCAGAAAAAAAGACAATACAACAAAGCATGTACCAATCGAATCACGATTGACAGAAAGGATTTGGAAGATGTAAAACATTTACATTTCTCGGCAGCATCATTGATCAACACGGTGGATCTAGTGCAGATGTGAAGGCACAGATCAGAAAAGCAAAAGCAGCATATCTACAATTGAACAACATCTAGAACTCAAAATAACTGTCAACCAACACCAACGTCAGAATTTTCAATACAAATGTGAAAACAGTTCTACTGTATGGGGGCAGAAACCTGCAGAACTACGAATGCAATCATCCAGAAGATACAAGTGTTTATTAACAGCTATCTACGCAAAATACTTCGGATCCGTTGTCCAGACACTATCAGCAACAACCTACTATGGGAGAGAACAAACCAGATTCTAGTGGTGGAAGAAATGAGGAATAAGAGCTGGAAGTGGATAGGGTACACACACATTGAGGAAAGCACCTAACTGCGTCACAAGACAAGCACTCACATGGAATCCTGAAGGCCTAAGGAGAAGAGGAAGATCAAGGAACATATTACGTCGAGAAACGGAGACAGACATGAGAAGAATGAGCAACAATTGGATAGAACTAGAAAGAAGACACAGGACAGAGTGGTTTGTAGAACTCTGGTTGGCGGCTTGTGCTCCATAGGGAGTAACAGGCGTAAGTAAGTAAGTAAGAAATAATATTCTAGTTATAAGTGATTAACTTTCAAAGAAATGTTTAGAAAGTAATTCAAAGTAATGACTGGAATAATTCACATTATTTAATAATAATTATTATTAACCTTGTATTATTATAGATTTCTATCAAGATATAACATAATTGAATCAAATTATTCACTCCATTAAAGATATTATTTATAATGTGAATATTTACAAATAAGTAATTACATTATACAATACCAATTTCTTTTGTGTAAAATTTATTAAAAGACTAATTAAAGTTATTACAATGAAGAATGCAATTAATTATTTTACTAAAAATCAAATTAATCATTAAAGAAGATAGTTATATAGAGTAGAATTTATATTAGATATACATACTATTAAAAATTAATAATTTCTATTTATTAACAGTATGATTTGAAGAGATTGTAGTGTTTTCATAGTTAAAATCACAAGTCAATCAAAGCTAGACCATCACTGAAAATATGGAAGCACTGGTTAGCTACTACGTCCTGGTATGGGATTCCTCAAGATCCACAACTCCGCATGTGGGTGTCAAATCTAGGAATTATGGTTTGGCCTAGTGAACGCTTTATCTCTAGGCTAGTAAGCTAAAATCAAAAGGTATTAGTGTTTAACTTCAAATGATCTACGATGTCACACGATCATTTTCTATTATTTTTGATGGGTAATTGTTTCATATCTGACACGGTTGGACTCTATTGGTCACGGATTCTTACAAGTACACCAGAGATTGCATCTTGAATTTAGTCACTTATAAACACATGATTGTTATCAATACAGAGATTTGTAATGATTTTACTGATTTAATGAATGAAAATAAAATAAATTCTT